TCCAAAGTCTCTGTAAACTTTCATGAAAAAAAAAAAAAAAAATTAAAAAAAGAATAATAATTAGAATGGGAAATACAACAAGAAAAATAACAATAAACAAGGAAGTATACATGCATGATTATGTTTTTAGGATTTAGTAGAGGAAATGTGAAATACAATAGAAGTTACAATGAATTAGGATGAAAAGTTGTAGGAGGGACAGGACAGACTCTCAGATAACTTTTCCAAACACTTAACATACTGTTTATCTAAGAAAAGGCTCATTATTCAATAGTTGATTGGTCAGATAAATAACAAATAAAAAAGATAAATGAATAAACAACGTAAAAATGTAAAACATGAGTGCATTAAAAACAATACTTACCAGCCATCTGTCATATTCATCAAGGGCTTGTTTATCTTTATCTTTTTTTTCCGCTTTTTTAAGTTCTTCCTTTTTTTTCTCATTTATTTTCTCTTTCTCCTTTTGCTTGAAAAATGCTTCCTTTCTTTCATTCCTGTGTAGGATAGTACACAACACTGCTGTTGATTCTGACTCAGTGAACTGCTAAAGGGCATGGCAGACTTAAACAACAGGGGTTCTAAAGCTATAAATCTTTATGGAAAAGACAATGTTATCTATCTCCTGCTGTTACTGGTGGATTCAAATTGCTGCCTTGAGGTTAGCAGCTGAACACTTTAACCATTACACCACCAGGATTCTTAATATAGTAAAGATTGTGGAATTAAAACTTTAAATGTCAAGTAAATAAATTCTAGTAAACTCTTAAGAGTAATTAGTTTAAGATTATTGAAATGTTTATTATTTTGGATTACCATTTTTCAACTGCAGCTATGTTATCTTTCCTTTTCTCAGCCACAGCTTCCTCCTCTTTCTGCTTCTTTGCTCTTTCATATTCTTTCTCCTTTCTATTTTTCTCTCTCAGATACTCGATCTTTTTTTCTTTCCATTTCTCAAATGCCTACAAAAAATTCAGAATTATTTTATAAACATACATTTTCCTTTTACACTTACAGTATCTACTGTATAAACTTAATAAAAACCAAATCATTCTTAAAAATTGTATTAAAATTTTTTCAATACTTGGAGTGCTTCTTCTTTCCTCACTGCATTCTCCTGTTCCATTTTCTTCTTATTTTTCTCCTCAAGCCTCTTTCTTACAGCTGTTTTCTTTGCTTCCTTTTCTTTCATAGCTTTCCAGGCTTCAAATGAGGCTGATGCCTCTTCTCTTTTAGTAGTTCTTTTCTGTTTGGGGAAAATTATATATATCAATATCAATATATAAATATATATATCAGTGTATATAAGCATTCAGAAAAATATATAGATATCATATCTATATTTATCTTTAATCACTTTGACATTTATCATATACAACAATTATTCCTTAATACACATACTTCATTTAGAATGGGATAAGCAGATTTATTAAACAAGTCATGTGAGTTATCCATTGTATTTTAAAGCCTATTTTAAACTGCATTTCTCAGTTATTGCTCTACTACATTGTGAGAAAGAAATCCATTTTTTATTTTCAAAGTATACTAATAAATGGTACTAAATTTTAATAGTATAACTTTAAAATATTCCATAATAAAATATTTACGGAAAACAATATCAGGAATCTTATGGGCATAAAAATTACCGTTAATTAAAGTAAGTTAAATTGGGTAAAGTTGCTAGTTGTTGTTGCTGTTATATGCCATCAAGTCACTTGAGACTCATAGCAACACTATGTACAAGAGCTCTATACGCTCTTCTACCCTGTGACAACCTAGCCGTCTCAAAAATGCACTCATTCCCACCTCTCCAGTCAGAGAATCGATCCATCTCATCAAAGGTCTTCCTCTCCTTCACCGCCCCTCCACTCTGCCAAACATGATGTCCCTCTGCAAGGACTAGTTCCTCCTTGCAAAATGCCCAAAATATGTCAGACGAAGCTTCAGAATCCTTGACTCCAAGGAGCATTCTGGCTTCACCCTCTCCATGACAAACCTGTTTGTTCTCCTAGCAGTCCATGGTATATTCAACACTCTTCTCCAGAACCACAGCCCAAAGGCATCAATTCTCTTTCTATCATCCCTATATACTGTCCAACTCTCTGATGCATAGCATGTAATTGCGAATACTATAGCCTGGATCAGGCGCACTTTAGTCTCCAGTCTGACATCGTTGCTCCTCAGCACTCCTGAGAGGTCCCTCACAGCCAACCTTCCCAATGCAATTCGTCTCCTGATTTCCTGGCTGCTGTTACCAAGAGTGTTGACCATGGAGTCAAGTAAATTAAAACTGTCAACTATCTCAATCTCTTCACCATCCATGCTGATGCTACCAACTGGCCCAGTGGTGAGAATCTTTGCTTCAGTCCTCATAGGAGGCTATAGTTCTTGATCTTCTGCAGCAAGCGCTTCAGGTCCTCCTCAGTTTCAGCAAGCAGGATTGTGTCATCTGCATAATGCAGGTTGTTGATGATTCTTCCACCAATTCTGATGTCACATTCCTCTTTGTATAGCCCAGTGTCTCGGATGATCTGTCTGCATACAGATTGAAAAGGTATGGAGACAGAATACAAAACCCCTTCTTGATTTTGAACCATGTAGTTTCTCCGTGCTCTGTTCTGACAACTGCCTCTTGGTCCAAGTATAAGTTTTGCATTAACACAATCAAATGTTCTGGGATTCCCATTCTTCTCAGAGTCAGCCACAGCTTGTTGTGATCTACACAGAGTCAAAAGCCTTTGCATAGTCAATAAAGTACAGATAGACATTCTTCTGGTATTCTTTGCTTTCTGCTAAGATCCATCTAACATTAGCTATAATGTCCTTAGTACCACAGCCCCTTCTAAATCCAGCCTGCACATCTGGCAGTTCTCTGTTGACTATTGTTCTAAATGTTTTTGGATAATTTTCAGCAGAATCTTGCTTGTATGTAAACTCTAGCACTTGCTGGCATCATATTTTTACTAACCATAAATATTCCATGTTTCAAATACCTACTATATTAGGACACACATGCTGTCTCACTTTAATAGCTAATCCCACAATATTCTTTCCTTTATAACACTTTAAAATATATATTTCCTTTATAGTAAGTGACATAAAATACATAGATAAAATTGTTTATAAGTAAAAAGTTTTCTACCTCACTGCATTATGAAGAGTAAATAAGAATAAAACTCTAACCAGAGCAGTTTAATGCTATAAATGGGGTTAACAGGCATTCCTAATGCTATGAAGATGGTAACAGGCAACATTATTGCATAATATTAATTCTGTAATCTTTACTATCTCAAGAACTTCAGTGGTATTATGGTTAAAGCATTCAGAAGCTAACCTCAAGGTACCAATTCGAACCCACCAGAAACTGCAGGATAAAGGCATACAGGCATATCCCACATCTGGCTGTCTTATGACTGTACTGATTCATGGTGCTGTTCATTTTGGGACTGTGTTTCTTCCTAAATCTGCTTATCACTGAAGAGCACAATGAAAATAGTTTTACTCATGATGGTTTTTTTTTGAAGACTAGAGAATTTGAGTATGTTTTTAGGCTAACAGAGATCATGAGGATGGAGTAGGATAGGACACGGTTCAGATTTGTTGTTCATAGGATCACTAGCAGTTGTAGCAGACTCAATGGAACCTAACTAACAACAAGAGCATAGCCTTACCAAGGGAGCTCTGGTGGCCTGGGGGGCAAGAAGTTGTGTTGTCAACCCAAAGGAATGCCACTTGAATCCACCAGCTGCTCCATAGGAGAAAGATGGGCAATTTCCTCCCATGTGATTTGCAGCCTCTGAAACTTGCTATAGGGTTAGTTATGATTTTGTTCCGACTCAATAGCATGTAGCAACAACAACATAGGCTAACATGGAAGTGTAGATGAAAAAGCACAAAAGCTAATAGACAAGAATTAGGGGGAAGAGATGAAGAGTATAGATGAACAAGCATCCAGCTACAGTCAATGGAAAAGGGTCAAACAGGACTAAGAGCAGAGTAGAGGATGATCTCAATGGTAAAGATAAAATTCAAGAGAAAAAGAGGAAATCTAAAAGCTGGTATATTATAAGCTTTTATATTCTTGGCCAAGTGATAAATGAAGTCAAGTTTTAAGAATGTGCAGTCAGAGGGCTCCTTAGAGGTGAAGATGGGAAAATGTCATCTCACATATTTTGGGATTGCCATCAAGGGGGGCCAATCTCTGAAAAAAAGGCATCACGATAGAAACATGGACAGTCAGGCAAAGAGAGAATGATCTCAATGAGACAGAATGACATAGTGATTGCGACAGCAGGCTTAAGCACAATCAGACTGTAAGGAAGATGCAGGACTGGGAGTTGAAGAGGGTGAAATCAAGTGTCTCCTAGGAGGCAAGGATTCTGAAGCTCTGTCCCATACACTTTGGGCACGTGGCCAGGTAGGACCAATCCTTAGAGAAGGACATCACGCTTGAAGGGTGGAGGGACAGCACAGGAGAAGAGGACCCCGGATGAGATGGATTGACATAGTAACTGGGGCAATGCTGGCAGGTGTGTCAGAGTCAGTGATACTGGCTTAGGACAGGGCAGAATTCAGATGTGTTGTACATAGTGTAGCTATTAGTAGCAGGTGACTCAGAATATAACAACAACAACATTGCATGCAGGTTCGCTACGAATCAGAACCAATCTGACAGCACCGGACAGCAGTAATCATATAGGATAAAACTCTGAAAGTACTGCAATTGGAAATAGAAACAGCAATGAAAACAAAAGTGCATCAGGGCCTGTCATATAATTTACATGTTATACTTGCCATTTTATTTTTTAGTGGATATAATCCTCATAACAATAGTATTATTACTGCTATTGTTTTTTCACAAATGATGAAATTAAGAAATAAGAGTTAAAGTAATCTATTCAAAGTAAAAGTCAGGTAACAGATTAAAAACAGAGGTGAAGGAAAAGAATTCTGCTGCAGCATTGTACTCGCAGATGTGGAGTGATAGGACTTTGGGGCAAAGGACACTGGTGTCATTAGACTACCTCTCCCCCTGCTCCAGTTTCACGTGGCAGTCCTAAACTATGCACAGAAGCAAGAAGACAAAGTTATTTAACTTGGAAAAGTTTGTAAAAGCAAACATGAAGTGATTAACATGCTCCTGGAAACTCAATGAACTTTGAGAAACGATAATAGTTATAGGAAAACTTCAGCAATTTTTTTCATAGGGTTGCTATGAGTAGTGCTTGACTCGATGGCAATCAACAACAAAAACAACAAAAGACTTGAAAAGTAGAACAGTAAAATCATATGGCTGACAGATTATTAAAGTGGTGATGATAGTAATTCAATACTATCCTGAATACTCTCTGCTGCTTTTAACTGATCAGGGATTCAGGAAAATTCATAGCCATTTCAGGTCATGGAGTCTTCAATATTCTTGTCAACATAAGGAATATGTTTGTTTTTATCAGCAGAGACAAGCAACTCATACCAGGCTGGTGTCATTTATAACACAATTCTTCCAAGTTAGGTCAAAACTTGACACTATGTAACACTAATTTCTCTCCCTTAAAAAAATAATTATTGTAATTTTTGAAAGTAATTCACTAAAATAAATGTTAGAAAATTAAGGTAGCTGGTCATGTTACTAAAGTAACAGGTTCATAATAGCTGCCTGATAAATAGCTGCCCTTACATCATCTGCTTTTTCAGGCTCAGTGCTCTGTTTCTGTGAAAGCTTTTGGTCTAAGACTTTCAAAGTCCCTAAATACTGAGAAG